GAGTCTCCTCTAGCTCCTGTCTATGACCATGCTCGAATGCATCCAAATGTTGCTCATTGATGGACTGGTACTCGAGAAAGTTCTCCTTGTCTCGATACGACTTCTCTCAAGGATGGTATCTCAGCTCAAAAGTCATGGTATTGTTGCAGTGGTGGCAAGGAAGATTGCCCAACTTCATATCTTTGTCGCTCATGAATCATCTAAAAGTGCACAAATGGCTTCCTTGCCCCTACCTAAGTAACATGGCTATGACAATCATCCCTGATGAGGTCTACTCCAACTTCAGTCAACCTCTCCCTCCATAGATGAAAGCTAGTTGTTTAAACATTTGTCCATGCATTGCCATGGTATCCCATAGAACTAATTTGAACTCATCTTTGTGGCCATCGAATTAATGAGAAATCGTACTAAAATAACCTCATTTTGGAAGTACGTGATGAGAAGAGATGGAGTTGGACCGACTAAGACAGTCCATTACTAGCCAAGATGGATGCAGCCACCAATCATGCACAAGTGCATGATAGAGTATCATGTCATTGCATGTGACCTTGCCTGCATCGTCTCTTTGCCTCATGTGAAAACTGGTTCGGCCAAAGTAGTGCACGACCTCAAAAATGGTAGGCGGATCGTTGTAGGTCTAGCATAACCAGAAGTGTACTAATTTTTTGTAATATTCCTCCAGAAAGCTTTGATGATTTAATTGTGTGATGATGAGTCCCAAAAGCCTCTCAGCCTAGCATGAGAGAGAGAACCTCTCGTGTGGTGTGGAGGAATCCCTAGCTTCAGTACGAAGCTATCATAACTGTCAGTGAAGCGCCTCCACACATGAACATTTCTTCAGTGATCCACTATGCTCCTCCTCTGGGTCTCTAGTAGAAAATTTGGTAGAGGATGCATGGCCACTTGTCCTAGCTCAAGAATCTCGAGCTCATGGTCTGTCTCTTGCACCTCTGGCCCCTGGTGCATTTTTTCACTTCAAATCATTAATCTCCTGCTATCCAAGGATAGTTGTCCACTACTAGTGCTTGAGAAAATCCGAGCAAAATCGATATAAGAAGTAGAGTTACTTGACTCAGACTCCTCTTCCTTTTCTATGATGGGTTTCCTCCTATTGAGACAAGATCTTCTCCTAGGTGGAGCAACTGCCTCCAGTTCTACTCTTGGTGGGCTCAACCTTCTAGATTGTCGAGAAGATGATACACCATCATCCTTCTTCTCCTTGTGACGTCCTAAGAATCATGGAAAAGGGTTCTTCATTTATGCCATCATAGAAGAAAAAAAAAACAAAGCAAATAGATAAAAATGGCTTCTTCTATAAGCTAACTATAGGACTTCTAAGATACACATTATTAAGATAGCCTACCATGACATACCCATCTAATTCCATCATCTGTTTCCTCGTCAACAACTAAGCCAAGTCACAACCTTTTGGGTCACACTTGTCAGCAAGAGGTTGTTTGAGTGTTATTCAATTTCAACCTCGACATTCAGGTCATTCATGTCTTCGTTTGAGGGGGGGTGTAAGAGCAGGGGCGGACCTACTTCCGACACCCTTTCGCCCGAAACTTTTGTGAAGAATCTATATTTTTTTGGTACAAAAACTTTTAATACGAGATTTCCGACATCTCTTTAAATATTATAGCCGACAATCCTTCATTCAGCGACACCCCTCTTTAACAATCCTGGGTCCGCCACAGTGTAAGAGTGTGGTATAAGATCCATAATAACCTTCTCCCAATAACACGAGTTATTTGTGACCAGTTGGTTTATGACATGGTATCAAAGTTGGTTTGGCCAAGTGGTCATGTGTTTGAATCTTCAGTACCCCCAATATTAACAGTTAATTAAAGCACAATGTATGGTGGATATGTGCAAACTTCAAACCCGTGAGTTGACTTTCGTTTGAGGGGGCGTGTAAGAGTGTGGTATAAGGTCCATCATAACTGTCATAATTGGGCTGCTCAATTAGTACGATATTGTCCATTTTGGGCCAAGCCCGCACAAATTTACTTTTGGGTGTCCTCCCCAAAAGGCTCGTAGTAATGAGCTTGGTAGACACTAATATACAAGGATTCTTTCCCTTGTATTTTCGATGTGGTACTTGGATTGTCCCATAACAATCCTCCCCTCAAGCCAAGGACCACGTACTTCGTGTCTTCACCTCAGCGATTATCTTGATTCGTCCGACACCTTGTATCGATGGGCTTCTCGATACAAGGATTTATTCAGACGCAGAACTTTTGATCTGCTTCCCAAATGTGGAACTCTCTTTGATCCGCCAAGCCCAAACGTGAATCTCTCCTGGATCCACCAAACCAGACGCAGATCTCAAATCCCGATGTCACCGAATAAGGGTTCCACCAAACTGACGTCCACCGCCCCGAACCGAACCAAGCTCTGATACCACTTGTCATAACCGGGCTGCTCAATTAGAACGATATTGTTCGCTTTTGGCCAAGCCCGCACGGATTTACTTTTGGGTGTCCTCCCCAAAAGGTCTCGTACTAATTGAGCTTGGTGGAGACTAATATACAAGGGTTCCTTTCCTTGTATTTCTGATGTGGTACTTGGATTGTCTCATGACAATACCTTATCCCAACAACTCGAGTTATTGTGATCAATTGGTTCTTGACATGATATCAGAGCTGGTTTGTCCTTGAGATCACGTGTTAAAGTCCTCACAACCGTCAATATTAATCGTCCTCTTCAAGCACATGGTATGACGGGTATGTGCAAACTTCAAACCCATGAGCCGGATTTCTTTTAAGGAGGCGTGTAAGAAAGTGATTAAATACCATTAATTTCAGATCTAGAGTAGCACGTACTGATTATTAGTTGGGCAGAAGCTGCTGCTGCAGGCTGGTTTTGATCGTTAATGTTATGGTGTCCCTTTATAAAGCGGCAAAGTCTGTGCATAGAAGGAATCAATGCCTTAACAAAATACACATATTATTATCATTATTTGGATTATATGTTAATTTCTGCAATGAACCTCATTCTGATCCAGTTTTGTTCCGCAATAAAATAAGCTTAATTAGGAGATAGTTGACAATTTTTTGTTGATGATCGAACAATGAGCATTTGCTTAACTTCATATCCGCCAGCTGCATGCCACGAATTGTAACTTGTTTATTTATCTTTGGGCTTCTTCCCTTTGAGTGTTAGCATTTGGCACACAGCCAGTAATATTGATAAAAGAATAAACGTATCCGCTCCTTTCTCCGATTCCTTCATTTTCCCAAATCTTTCCGAGAAAATAATTGTTCAATGTGGGATAGGCATCTGTAAGTATAATAATGCACCAACCAGCAAGTTGAATTGTGATGATTGTGCCCTTTCTCATGTTCTTGATAACCCAATAGAATTGATATATTACGATCATTGACGCGAACAAATTACCGTGTATTGGCATTTATCTTTGATTTATTTTTGCAGTGGTACTGTTTTTTTTTTTTGTAGTAGTATCGTTTTATGTTTATGGTATTGGTTTGAAGATACTGATGTTATTTTTAATTTGTTTTACTCGTTATAAAGGTGTTGATATTAGTTTGTTTTTGTAGTGGTACTAATTTTTTGTGTAGTGGTTGTTGGTTTTATGCTTCTGATATTGCTTTTGAGATACTTGTAATGTTTTTGTATTACTCGTTGTATAGGTACTGCTATTGGTTTTGTTTTTTTCCAGTGGTATTGTTTTTTGTATAGAGATACTGATTTTCGTACAATGGTATTGTTTTCGTGTAGTGGTACGAGTTTTTATATAATGGTACTGATTATCGTATAGTTGTACAAGTTTTCTTAGTTGGCTAGAGGAAGTCTGTCGCAAGGAGTCTATCAGAGAAAGGCAGAGAGGCACAAATTTTGTTCTCTGTTAACTTTGACATTTAGTAGTTAGCTGTCAACTCCTTTAGCGTTGATGTACCATCTGATTTGGATTTATTTGGTATTTAAAAATTATTGAAACAAAGCAATATTTTTTATAAAAAAATCAACTAAAATAGAAAATAAATATACAAAAGAAAACTTGTATTAATATGTCTTTTTTATCAACGAATTACTTGACTATTAATTTTAAAAAATATTTATTCTCATGTTTATATTGTATAAAGGCCACATTTGTTTCAATCTTCTGATTCCACGAATGAAATGATTTACTCAAAGCTTGGAGCATGGAGGTCCACTATTGGTTGATCGTTGCTCAATAGTCCGTACTCACTCTACTATACGAATCACGAGTCGAGTCTAGGAGTCTTTTCACAGTTTGATGGTTAATATCATTTCGAACTCGTAGTCATCTCCACGAGTCTTTTGATTTGTCTTCTCAGCTCATAGTAGTACTTGTTTGGTGAAATAGTAAACTTTGTTAGCCGGGTATAGTACGTTCCTCTAGTTAGTTCTCGAATAAACACACTTGAGAGAATTTACATTGAACAAGTCCAAATCTTAACTCGATTTTTTTTAATTACGAACAAAAAACACATTAACAAGTAACAAAATGAGTAAATGACATTCTCTTTTGATGAAAGAAAACAAAATGTCGTTTTCTTTCTACAATGGTGTTTTGGAATTGGGAATAATAACCTTTCTTTGTGTTGGGACTCATACAAAGGCATCCCATCAGCAACCCTTCTACGACCGCCACGTGCAAAGCTGAAAAGCCTTCTTCTTCTACCTTCCTCTTTCCCCTTTGCCGTAAATACCCCTCATCCCCAATCCAAACGTCCCCCGAATTTCATCTTCATCCCCTGATTTGAGATTTCCAATCGCTCTCACTTCCTCATCTCCACTTGCAGTTCAATTGAAACCGCCACTTTTCCAGCCGCCGGAAAGCAATCCGATTCCGAATTCCCCCCCTGACCTTATGGCTGATTCACTCTCCGGCGGTCAGATCTCTCCTCCCCTGAAACCATAAAAGCTCAATCCCCCTCCTCTTCTTTCCCCCCCCCCCCCCCCCCCCCTTTCATCTCATAAGAACAAGACCCATCTACTTTAAGCATCCAAAAATGGCGACGCTGCAGAGATTCAAGCATTTCGCCACGCAGTGCGGAGCGTCGTCGACGGGGAACCCGACGCAGAGCCCCACCACCAGCCCGGTCGTCCACCTCCGCCGCCGCAAGACCCTCCGCATGCTCCTCTCCCGCGGCAGCCCCGCCGCCGTCGACCACCATCGCCGGGCTATGGCGATGTTCGACGGGGTCCAGCAGCGGGATCTGCCGTCGGATTCCAAGAGGGCCAGAAGGAAATTGAAGGATTTGTTCGTCGCTTCCCCGCCGTTGGAGGATAATAGCACGAAGAATCGGGGATGCGACGAGGTCCGGCTGCTGACCGTCGGCCCCGGTGGAAGTGACGGGGGTATTGGGAATAACGGTAATAATTGTAGCTTCAGTCGCGGCGGAGGTGGAGGGTTCTCCGGTCGTCGGAGAGGGCTCAGGCAGGGTGTGGCGACGTTTCGGTATCGGTTACTGAGGAGAGCTTGGCGGCCTGTACTGGTCACCATTCCTGAGTAGTTTTTTTTGTGTGTTTTGGTTGGAATCTGTACGGATAATGAAATGAAAAGGTTTCATTTTCTGAAAATTTTGTTCCCCCAAATTACCCGTTTAACTAGCCCCTCGTTTTCACAGGTTGAGATTATATTTTATTAACCCCAATTTTGGACGGAGAATTCAAATTGTTTTGAGATTTTTGAGGGAATTCAGAATTGTTACCAATCTAGAGGTTTTCTCACTCGTCCCACTAGGGTTGCTGGTCGGGTTGCTTACTTGCTCATTTGATGATTGAATCAGGACGAAAAATAACGACGTGCAAAATTGGATTAAGAGTACACTTGATAGTTTGGTTTGATTTAACATGATATCGAAAGTGAAATGTAATAGGTATTGTATAAAATTGAACTTGTTGACTCGTTAGTAAATTAAACTCATTCAACAAACATCTGTAGATTCGAATTCATCCATTTTATTGAAGTTTTGTTGAAACTCATTTAACGAGAATTACGAATTCGAATTCATCACTTATACGAGATTGTCTTCAAAGTACTATTATGCATACGAGCTTTCTCATATCGGCACGAAAATAATCATTTGAGTGAAAGACAACTACCGACTTAACTTTGGAGTGTTTGTCTCTTTAAAAAGTATTGGAATCCATATGGAGGTTTTTTTTTTTACAAAGAGAATCCATATGGAGGTTGATGCATTTCAAAACTGGGGATTTTGGTCATGGCACCGGAGACTAGAGCTGCAACTGTTCCCTCCCGTAAAGACGTAAAGTAACGGTCAGTATTTCAGCCCCCTCAACAATGGGGCGTAAAAGTCGGGCCTGCTGTCCCGTAGGCGCATTTTAGGAGATGCGCTAAGGTGTAATTATATTATTTTTTTTACGTAGGAAGTAATATATTATTTGCAACAACACTAGTGTCAGGAAACTGGTAGGAAAGAATTGGATTGAAGGCGTGATTAATCACTCTCCTTAGAGTGTTATTTGCCCCCACTAGAAATTGCTGGTAGGCTCGAGCAAACCACCCCCAGGAGTCCCTTCAATTCTAAGTCTGGAAGCAGCAATCTTGCAGACTTCTGTGTTTGTGAAATAGAGAAGGAAAACCGGAAGAAGAAGTAATCTCTCGTTATTAAAAGAGTTATGGCAATCACATATTTATAGTTGTGAAATTTGGAAGTTACTTTCCCGAAAGGACACATCCTTTCACATAAAAGGTAGTTACTTTCCCGAAAGGACACATCCTTTCACAGAGAAGGGTAGTTACCTCTCCCGAAAGGACACATCCTTTCATAATATTCAAACGTTTATTAATTAATATAAAAAATTAATTAATTAATTAAACTGCCAAAAGACTCAATCTTTATACTTTACTTCTCCCATCAATGTCGTATTACAACTCTATTGACTAACTCTAACAACTAGTGTACCGTTTTTTTTATAATGATTAAAGGGGTTGTGGGAAGAATGCATTCGAGTAGATCAGGCGAGTAATCACTATGCATAATTATTTTTTTTATCAAAATATCCAACATTATATTTTTTTATGATTAAATTGAAATTTTTATTAACATAAATGAATCTATTAGGGTTGGAAAGCGATGCGGTCTGATCCAAATCGGACTAGTATCAGTAAAACGAAGCAATCCATTCATCAATGGCGCACAAGAGGGCATAGGTTACGATCTTACCATAGCACTGCAGAGGGAATGTGAGAGTGGTCCAGTAAACCACGGTCTAGACCAGACTTGACTAAGAAATACATTTTATAATACAGACCATGGATCATACCATTCTTAACATTCTACGGTCCAAACCTAACAGAGCGGTCCGGTTTGATCCATAGTTTTTAAAACGGTCAGGTATATTTTTCCACTCATAGAATTTACAAGTTAATTATAAGGTTGCTTTTAAATTTTTTTACAGAAAATCTTGTTTCACAAAATGACATCTACTTTGATATAATGTAACATCCCGAACCTTTTCCCGACAAGATATTGTATGTTATGAGTCTAGATTCTCACGGCGTTTGTTTTGGGGTGCATATCAAGGTGACTTCTCGAAAGGTCATCCATCCTTCTAGTGCTACTCAGTGGGCATGTGTGTTGTCAGTTAAGGCAGTTTCTGACTTATGAACCATGATTCTCTCTCGTGCTTTGTTGATTTGAATTTCGCCTAAGATGTTACAAACACCTCCTTTGAAACCCAACGTCCTCGTTAGCTTTGCCCCATCATCGTTCAAGAGGGACACGAAGAAGCTCTGATACCGCTTGTAACATCCCGTCATCCCAAAACCTTTTCTCGACAAGATATTGTCCACTTTGAGTCTAGACCCTCAAGGATTTCGTCTTGCGATGCAGATCAAGCCGACTTCCCATAAGGTCACCCATCTTTGCAGTGCTCCATAATGAGCACAATTAACTTTGGAGTTTTCACAAGAACTCCTCCATTTCACCCTAAAATGCATTTTGTCATTTAAGTTCGGTTTCTTACTTATGAATCATGAATCTCTCTCATGCTTTGTCGATGTGGGATTCACATAAAGTGTTATATATATATTTTAACAAAAAATGTTAATTGAGTAATTTTTACTAAAATATTTCATGATGTTTAGTGAAAAAACCCGGTGTAAAACTCAATGGGTTTGAAAAACTCAAACCCAACCTAACCCGCTGAGTATCCACAGGTTCATGGATACCCATGGGTTTTTGTCGTAAAAAATTTACAATAACAAGTTCCTATCAAAATAAAAGTAAAATATCAATCTCTCAATACAAATTATCCATATATAAAACACCATTCTAAAATATTCAAGTAAATCACAAATTAAACATATAAATTGTTCAACATCAATCTAGAAAACTCAAGAAAATTGAAGCAAATCACAAATTATCCATAAACAACATGATTAATTGAAAGCTTTTTCCTCCTTGTCAATTAAGCCTTTTCACTCCACTCGATAATATCGACTTCATTCTACACAATTAGAAAGAAAAAATTAGACATGTCTCCACAAACATAAAGAAGATTAGTTGTTTAGAATATTAAATATACCGAAAAAGTTAATTATATGGGTGTGAGCGGGTACCCATGGGGCGGGTTTACCTAAACCTAAACCCAAACCCAACCCAGTGAATAGTGAATGGTTTTAAACCCGTCAGCACGGGTTTTACCCGAGTTGACAGGGTTGGGTCAGGTAAGGTACCCATGGGTTCGGGTTTTGTTGTCATCCATACATGTGAGTGGTTAATATGCGACTTGATATCGATCCACTCGTAAATAATCCGAACTGCAGTGGGTAAGTAATTGATGTGGGTGGATTACAGATTGATAAATCTCCTACCCGCTCTTAATCGGGTGAGTGGTGGGTGAATTGCGGGTCACCCAAATGACCCACACCATATTTTCACATGACAAAATGTTGTTTAATATTTATACTATCGAATAGTCATAATATTTTCTAACCGCACTACATAGTGCCCATCGGCTTCCAAAGGTGGAGACTAAATAATATTTTTTTACTACTATTATTGGTTACTATGTTGTGTAATGTCCATTAGATATTGGGATGCAAATTATAAAATATTAATTGTATCAAATTAAAGTCCCAAAGTGCGTCGATTTTCTCTACGCAATTGGTTGATAGAGTAATGAAAAATATAATGCAAATACTACACGGATCCACATTAGAAAAAGTGGAAAGTGTTTAAATTGATAGTATTAATAACTTGTGAGAAACTTATTATAAATGTTAATCAACTTTCTTAATGGCTAGATGAAAAATTATTTTTATGAATTGACCCGCCGCAATCCAACCGCACCCATTCGCCACCCACCCAACCCAACCCAAAAAAGAATGTAGGTAAATGACAGATCAAAATTATACCAACCCGTTAGTAAACGAGTGAGTCAAGTTGAAACAAAAACTCATCCAACCCGACCATTACCCACCCCTACACTAATTTGGGCATGCATAGAGTAAGTAGTTAGGGTTCCCAACTTCCCATTCTTTGATTTTAATGGGCCGGCGTGGAAACGATGGCAATAATTAACCATAGATCTGATTATCATGCTCTTTGAAATTGGTTTCCAGTTTATGGTTCACTCATCATTGCTTCACCATTTCCAGTAGCTAATGCTACCATTTGGCCCACTACCATCGACGTTCCTCATCACCTTTTCTATTAGGTGGTTTGTGTTTCTTCTTTTAAATTTTTACAATCGTTATAACAAACAACCAATCAAATTGAATGATTGTTAAATCTTCACTTTTAGATTAGATTGTTAAAATAAATTAGTTGGGATTGTTGGACCTTTATCTTTAGAGTTAGATATACCTACACCAATTTTGTTTTGCTTTTGGGTGCAGGTAAATGGAAAGTGGGTTGAATTTTAGAAAAACTCTGAACCCACTCAATTGGCCAATTTTAAAAGTGGGTAAAACCTACGACTAACCCAACACTGGATTTCATCTGTTTTGAGCATATTCGATACCCGCGGGGTCAGTTCCAATTACCACCTCTAATTCCAAGAGATTTAATTCAAGATGGTAGAAAAGATGGAGCATAGCTATTACGAAATAGTAGTGTAGTATGAGAGTATGAGCAATAGATCATGTTGTGATGCTATTGGTATTGACTTTGGAGAGGAGCCCTCTCATTTTGATCTCTACTAAATTAATTTGTATTCTCTTCAATCTAAATCTTTCAAAAAGTAAACAATGGTAGAAGTCGAATAACTTTTTTGAAACGACAATCCCTAATTAATTGTGTGTAGTATGTGATGTAAATTTACCTAGTATGGAGACCATGGTCGTATTGTCTAAGATCTCTCACAACCACTTACTTCGATGGTGAAGGAAGAGTTCTATGTGGTTTGAAAAAAGAATGTGGAGGTTGAGGTGTCTATGGGGCTGAATTTACCCTTGGTTTTAGAAAAAGAAAGTAAAAGACAGTTCAGGGAACAAAATCTACTCTACTGGCAGGTGAAGGAAGTGAGAGGTGAGGTGTTGCAT